TTTCCACCGCGGGGCGGTAAGGCGGGGGTCGTTTACGGAGGGGGGGGGGAAAGGGGGAGGATCTCGTTGAGATTTTTCTATCCCAAAAAGCAGGCAAAGATTTGACAAACCACATTTGGTCCAATCGGGGGGTTGCGGATGGGGGGCCGTGCGTTTTGGCGTGAGCAACCATCCTTCCACCGTTTGCGGCGCGCTGCCTCTCACGATTGCTGCGCCTCCGGCCCGTCGCTTACGCCCGGTGCTTTCCGGGTGCCATGTGAGAACTTTTCCGTCGCTGTAGAAATGCGCCTCCTCGTTACCAGACAACCACCGGATTGCACCGCCCCCCGTCCGAGTGCACGTGAGCCTGCTGTCCTCGCCGGACGTGCCATCACGCCCGCGTTGTCGCGCTCCAACAAAAAAGCTCCGCGCCCGTGCAGCGGCCGCCTTTATAAATAAATTGTTAACTCAAGCGTTTGCGGCCCGCAGTGCCCCCCCGATACATGCCCGTCCTCCTCCACACAAAAAACCCGCGATACACGAAAGCCCTATACATCCGCCTCATCCATCGCGTCCTCAAACGTATCCCCGACGGCAATCGCCGAAGCGGGGCTGCCGACGCGCTCCTTCCGTCCGCCCCGCACCCACTTCTCCACGCGCTTGCGCACCTCTGGCAGCTGGCACTCCTCCTCCGCAACCTCAAACGTACACACGTTCCTCCCGCCGCCCCTGCTCCTGCTCGGCACGAACGCGTCCCCCTCGCCGACCTCGAACCCGAGCCTCCCGACCGCCTCACAGAACCGCTCCACCAGCCGCTTCTCCACCACTCGCAGCGGGCACAGCCCGCACGCCATGATGCGGTACACGCGCATGCCGTTCAGCGCCTCCTCCCCGGCGACCTCGAACGCGTCCTCCCTGCCGGCGACGACGGCCATGAGCGCGGCGCAACCCTTGTAGAACAGGCGGTGCACGTCCGCGTCGGGCTCTCCGTCGCCGGCGGCGTCGACGTAGCGGTTGAGCCAGCGCGCGAGCGTAGCGACCCAGTCGCGCGCGTCGGCTGCGTGGACGCGCGCGGCGCGCACGACGAGC